GCGCAGATTATCAAAAGGCCGCATAATCCCCGCATTTTTCCACATAAAGTTGAGAAGAAAAAAAATTAACTCGTCTTGACGTGACGTCATCAGCTCGCGCATCACAGAATGTAAACAACACTGTATAGAGCTCATTTACCAACGAACATTTCTACTAAAGACCGGGCAAAAAGTGGGGGGAAACTATTCTGCACCCCGTGCAACTGTGTGTTGGAGCATAAGAGAAAATCGACGGTGGCGACCCACTTTGATTCATTCAAACATTCGAAAATGCTTTCTGCTGCTGCGGACAAGAAAGCCATTCAACTCCCGTTCACCGAGGGATCAACCTCCAAAACCCTTTCGAGGGCTAAAAGAAACGAAGTGAGTAGCCTACAAGATTGAAGCTGGTCAGATAACGAACGAGTAAATGAAAACAGAATGAGGCGGAGAAGTGTGTGTGTGTGTGTGTGGGAGGGTTAAAATAGCCCAATTGCTTTTACATTAAATAAACATTGAATGTGTTTAATTGAATAGTAAAGGGGTTTAACGTTAGTGGCAGGTTGTGTGTGAGAGAGAATAAATATTCAATTAAACACATTCAATGTTTATTTAATGTAAAAGCAATTGGGCTANCACATGTTCAATGTTTATTGCAGAACGTATTGAAATGAACTTATTGCACATATTAAACCTGGAACTAACAAAGCTTCAATGATTGCCTATAAAAACAACATTAAACATTAAATAATCAGTTGCATTCATTTCTTATGGCTCTATCTGCAGCTTCTCCAGAGTCATTTCTTATGATTACATTTTTCCACAGGCCAACAACAGCTTCAACAAAACTATTTCCCTCAAAGAACAAACCAAACATGCCCTGTTGTCTCAGAGAAAAAGTGCAGAAGGAAACATCCATTAAACTCAGTGTGCTGCTCTGTGATGCTAGTTCAGATACTTGGCATCTCATCTTGGGTGCAAGTTCATCAATGTTTGGGCTCAGGCTCTGAGCTGAGGAGACCCTCAGGATGGAGTGAAGGTGTGCGTGCAATATACCGGAGGGCCAGATCTAATAGTAATTCAAAATTATCCTGCGGGCCGAAATTAAATCCACCAAGGGCCGGATTTGGCCCCGGGCCTTGAGTTTGACACATGTGTGATATAGAGGAATATTCACACAAATTAGAAATATGCAAAAAACATCAATAAATTACATTAAATTATGGCTAAAAAATACCAGTAATGGAAAGCAAAGCATAGAGCAGTGCAGATTTAAAAAGAGCAGGGTTCACCGTGGTCACATAGCATGTGTTGCCCCCATTTCTGCCCCATTTTGGTCAAACTTGTGGGCACTTGGACAAATATTGGATGTATAGATTCTATCTTTTTCCATATTTTGTCAAATAAATGCACTTTCTTTCTTTAAATTCAAGTTATTTTAAAATGTGTTACTGCATAAACAACCTTTTTTAGTTTTTCTTCTAGCCACAATTGGGCTGTTTCCACAGTGAGTTAAATGTGACTGGAGTAGTAAAAGCAGAGTATAGTAGTATTGAAGGAAACAATGGGTCTTTTTTCACCCTTTTTCCTGCTTGGCTTTTATACGCTACCATACAATATGATACCATTCATTATCCGGGTGTTTTATAGCCCCTCTCCTCCTCTTCCCACCCCTCTTTCCTGCCCTGCGTCCTCTCCCAGCCCACGGTTCTGCTCTCAGCTCAGACTGAAAGGCTGAAGGCTGCTGTGTCTCTGCCAAAGCTAACAGCTAGCGAGGATGAAAGGCCTCTTCTCTCTCTGCCTGCTGCTGTCAGAGCAATCTACTTCACATCCATTGAGAAAACGTCTTCAATGCACTTCACAGCAACGGCAGCTCCACAAATTATGGAATTACTTTGGACCCTTATCGCATTTTGTCACGTTTTAATTTAGTCTGTTTTTAATAGTCTAATTTCCTATCACGGTAGTAAAAAAAATCACTCCTGTTGGGACGTTCAGGTTTTAAAGCAGCAACAGGAAAACAATTAAAACACAAGATAGGACAAGTGAGAGTTCACACATGTCATGTTTTTAGATATATCCCTACCTAGCCAAATTACCTTTTTCATGCAGCTTCTTTGCATGCCTTACAGTAGATGAGCACAGGAGTGTCTGATTCACATCCATCTCACATTTGTAGCAGCCTGGTGGTGAGAGAGTGGAAACTCACAGCTTATCATTCACAAGAAAATCTTTTAATAAATGCTACTGGAGCTGCAAAACTGTCAATTATCAGATAGCAAGACAATTAAGATTGTTTTGCTGTTTATAAATCTATTTTTGTATCTGTAAGCAACAATCCTAAAATGTCCATGTTCCTTTCTCAATTGTGTTTTGCTTTGATATCATTTTGAGAAATATGCACATTCACTGTCTTGAGAATTACATGGACTGATCATCCTGTGCAAAAATAAAAAGTAAAGCCAGTGGTTCATGAGGTGTTTAACACAGACCTTCTCCGAATCTTGTACTATGACTACAGAAAACTCAAATTTGTTAATACATTTTTATGTACGTAATGTCTTAGTAGTCCCACAAAGAGGGACATGTGCAATTTTACAGCAGCAAAGGGACAGTGCAAAAAACAAAAGGAAGTTAAAATAAGTAAACTATTTAAAAACTGAAATCTATGGACACACTGAACACAGAAAATGATGGAGGTGTTTCTATATGCCCTTTGAGATCTCATCAGTTGTTTCTTATTGCTTGTCTGTACATTTTAAACTGATTTCCATTGTCTCCCTGACCTTGAGTTTTAATTTTGTATTGACAGTCATTTCTTGGTTAGTGTTGACAGATCGTGACTAATAGACCTTTTGTCAAATATAGAAGTATAGGTGAAATATTACAGTGAGTTTCATGGTCCTGTCATGTCGCATGTTAGCAGCAGTGGTGCATTGTTTCACTCACAGTTCAGTGAACAGAACCAGTGTACAGTGTGTGATTCTTCCCCCTGACGTCAATCACACACCACGTCTTTATCTGATCTGTCAGCAGAGGCTGTTTGTCTCGCTGTGTTTGCTATTCTGTCGTCAGTCAGAGAGCTGAATGTACCGTCAGTTCTCGTGCAGTGAACACAACACACAGTGACCACCATTACATGATAAACAGCCGGGTGAGGTGACCCGCCTCCCTGCTACTTGTTCAATGTGTGTGTGTGTGTGTGTGTGTGTGTGTGTGTGTGTCTAAGTCTAATCGAGCCTTTGTATCTGTGTGTTTTATAAATTAAGAAAGGGCTGCTTTTTCTGACATGCTTGTTAGCTATTCGTCATCTGTGATTAAGAAGAACTCTTTACACTCTCAAGTGTGTTTAAGGGGCTTGATGTGAATTACTGTACAGTATATGTATAACCTTTGTGCTACTCAAAGTCTGATAAATAGCCACATAAGACCAAGTGATGTCAGGTAAGTTAGCGTCAGGGTTTGAAAACTACAGAGTGGTGCAAGGATTTCCTATTTTTGTAGGCCGACTCGGAAGTTAGCATCGCAACGGCTCCCTCGAAACAAGCAATGGGATTTTTCATTGTATTTTGGAATGTGGCACATTAACACCACCACCTAAAAGGTTTGATGCTTAAATGCAATCTTCAGAAGTAATAAGCTGCAGTGGGCTATAAACAAACTACATTACGGTTACATGACTTCATGTCACCACCGCTAAGCTAATGGTGGCTAATGTACGGCGTGCTGTATTACATTACATTTACATTACATTGCATTTAGCTGACGCTTTTATCCAAAGTGTTGAATTGTGTTCGTTGTTCTCGCGTTCAGGAGAGAAGTTAAAATAAAGAGACTAATGGAGACTCTGAAAGGGTTCAATTTGGTACTTTAATTAAGTAGCGTGGTAATGAAACAAACAGAGGAGTAGTGGAGGAGACAGAGCAGCTGTTTGTCTCGCAGTTGCGGCCGTGAAAGAGACTGAGACACGTTGGTTCTTCCCACTTGTATCTCCCCTTCGCTCCTCTTCTCTGGGGGCTGTGACGTGGGGTTCCGCCCTCCTTTCTCCAATGTCCGATATCACGCATAACAGAGGATTTAGACGTAGTGTCTTCATTGTATAACTCCACACGCCTTTTCTCCTCATTCATGACTTTTTATTTAATGCATTTTAACGGCTGTAATCGTTGTTAACGTAAAACCGGAAGTTAAGCTCACTGTTGATATCCGGAGACTTCTTCCGGTAAAGCTTTTCAAAATAAACTTTAGCATCAACGTTAGCCACAGAAGAATGCCAACCGGAAATGTTTTCAGAATAAAACAGTTTTAAGCTTACTGTATGTTTAAACTTAAATACGTCATTAAACATTGAT